GTTCAGCTACGTTGCTCGCACACCCAGCTGCGTTGCTCGCACCCTCAAGTTTGTTGCTAGAACCCTCAACTACGTTACCCGCACACTCATGTTCGTTGCTCGCACACTCAGCTGCGTTGCTCGCACCCTCATCTGCGTTGCTTGCACGCTCTGCTGCGTTACTCGCACGCTCAGCTGCGTTGCTTGCACGCTCTGCTGCGTTGCTTGCACACTCAGCTGCGTTGCTCAAACGCTCTGCTGCGTTGCTCGCACACTCAGCTGTGATGCTCTCACACTCAGCTGCGATGCTCGCACCCTGAGCTACGTTGCTCGCACACTCAGCTGCGTTGCTCGCACCCTCAGGTTCGTTGCTCGCACACACAGCTGGTAATGGTAATGTGGTAATGGTGATGGTAATGATAGTGGTGATGGTAATGATAATGGTAATGGTAATGGTAATGGTAGTGGTAATGGTAATCGTAATGGTAATGGTAATGGTAGTTGTAATGGTAATGGTAATGGTAATGGTAGTGGTTATGGTAATCGTAATGGTAGTGGTAATGGTAATGGTAATGGTAATGGTAGTTGTAATGGTAATGGTAATGGTAATGGTAATGGTAGTGGTATTAGTAATGGTAGTAGTAGTGGTAGTGGTAATGGTAATAGTAATAGTGATTGTAATTGTAGTGGTAATTGTAATGGTAATGGTAACGGTAATGGTATTTGTAATGGTAATGGTAACGGTAATGGTAATGGTAATGGTAATGGTAATGGTATTGGTAGTGGTATTTGTAATGGTAATGGTAATGGTAATGGTAATGGTGGTAGTGGTAATGGTAACAGTAATGGTAATGGTAGTGGTAACGGTAGTGGTAATGGTAATGGTAATGGTAATGGTAGTGGTAATAGTAATGGTAATGGTAGTTATAGTGGTAATGGAAATGGTAATGGTAATTGTAATGGTAATAGTTATGGTAATGATAATGGTCATGAAAATTGTTATGGTACTGGTAGTGGTAGTGGTAATGGTAGTTGTAATGGTAATGGTGATGGTAGTGGTAATGGTAGTGGTAATGGTAGTGCTGCGCTGCTCGCATGCTCTTCTGCTCGCACACTCAGCTGGGATGCTCGCCCACTCAGCTGCGTTGCTCGCACCCTCAACTGCGTTGCTCGCACCCTCAGCTGCGTTGCTTGCACCCTCAGTTGCGTTGCTCGCATGCTCAGCTGTGTTGCTCGTACCCTCAGCTGCGTTGCTCTCACGCTCAGCTGCGTTGCTCGCACACTCAGTTGCGTTGCTCACACCCTCAGCTGCGTTGCTCGCACCCTCAGTTTCCTTCCTCGCACACTCAGCGGTGATGCTCTCACTCTCAGCTGCGTTGCTCGCACACACAGCTGGTAATGGTAATGTGGTAATGGTGATGGTAATGATAGTGGTGATGGTAATGATAATGGTAATGGTAATGGTAATGGTAGTGGTAATGGTAATCGTAATGGTAATGGTAATGGTAGTTGTAATGGTAATGGTAATGGTAATGGTAATGGTAGTGGTTATGGTAATCGTAATGGTAGTGGTAATGGTAATGGTAATGGTAATGGTAGTTGTAATGGTAATGGTAATGGTAATGGTAATGGTAGTGGTATTAGTAATGGTAGTAGTAGTGGTAGTGGTAATGGTAATAGTAATAGTGATTGTAATTGTAGTGGTAATTGTAATGGTAATGGTAACGGTAATGGTATTTGTAATGGTAATGGTAACGGTAATGGTAATGGTAATGGTAATGGTAATGGTAATGGTATTGGTAGTGGTATTTGTAATGGTAATGGTAATGGTAATGGTAATGGTGGTAGTGGTAATGGTAACAGTAATGGTAATGGTAGTGGTAACGGTAGTGGTAATGGTAATGGTAATGGTAATGGTAGTGGTAATAGTAATGGTAATGGTAGTTATAGTGGTAATGGAAATGGTAATGGTAATTGTAATGGTAATAGTTATGGTAATGATAATGGTCATGAAAATTGTTATGGTACTGGTAGTGGTAGTGGTAATGGTAGTTGTAATGGTAATGGTGATGGTAGTGGTAATGGTAGTGGTAATGGTAGTGCTGCGCTGCTCGCATGCTCTTCTGCTCGCACACTCAGCTGGGATGCTCACCCACTCAGCTGCGTTGCTCGCACCCTCAACTGCGTTGCTCGCACCCTCAGCTGCGTTGCTTGCACCCTCAGTTGCGTTGCTCGCATGCTCAGCTGTGTTGCTCGTACCCTCAGCTGCGTTGCTCTCACGCTCAGCTGCGTTGCTCGCACACTCAGTTGCGTTGCTCACACCCTCAGCTGCGTTGCTCGCACCCTCAGTTTCCTTCCTCGCACACTCAGCGGTGATGCTCTCACTCTCAGCTGCGTTGCTCGCACACTCAGCTGCGTTGCTCGCATGCTCCGCTGCGTTGCTGGCATGCTCAGCAACGTTGCTCGCACGCTCATATGCGTTGCTCGCATGCTCTACTGCGTTCCTCGCACGCTCAGGTGCGTTGCTCGCATGCTCGGCTGCGTTCCTCGCAAACTCATCTGCGATGCTCGCACTCTCAGCTGCGTTGCTCGCACACTCAGCTGTGTTTCTCTCACCCTCGGCTGCATTGGTCGCACTCTCAGCTGCACTGCTCGCACACTCAGGTTCGTTGCTCGCACCCTAATCTGCGTTGCTAGCACCATCAGCTGCGTTGCTCGCTCGCTCAGCTGCGTTTTCTCGCACACTTAGCTGCGTTGCTCGCACCCTCAGCTGCGTTGCTAGCACCCTCAGCTGCGTTACTCGCACACTCAGGTTTGTTGCTCGCACACTCAGGTTTGTTGCTCGCACCCTCAGCTGCGTTGCTCACACCCTCATTTGAGTTGCTCGCATACTCAGGTTCGTTGCTCGCACACTCTGCTGCGTTGCTCGCACCCTCCGGTGCGTTGCTCTCAAGCTCAGCTGTGTTGCTCGCACCCTCAGCTGCGTTGTTTGCGCACTCTGCTGCGTTGCTCGCATGCTCTGCTGCGTTGCTCGCACGCTCAGCCGCGTGCTTGCACGCGCTGCTGCATTGCTCGCACACTCTGCTGTGATGCTCGCACACTCAGCCGCGATGCTTACACACTGAGCTGTGTTGCTCGCACACTCAGCTGCGTTGCTCGCACCCTCAGCTGCGTTGCTCACACACTCAGGTTTATTGCACGCACACTCAACTGCTTTGCTCGCACTCTCAGTTGCGTTGCTCGCATCCTATGCTGCGTTGCTCGCACACTAGGGTTCCTTGCCTGCACACACAGCTGGTAATGGTAATGTGGTGATTCTTTTTTTTTTTTTGTAGGTGAAAGTGCACTATATAACGTACAACGCAAAAACACCATCGGTCGTAACCAGAGCTAGAGGGCATAGGTAGTGTATACCGTACCCTCGCAGCTTTCTATGGAGGCTTATAGACTAAATGCCTAAATATTTCAGCTTGCTCGCTATAAAAACCCACTGTGCCGTTGGCACACTTCGACACTGGCAGAAACGCTTTGGTGGGCTCCGCATGCTGTATGTGTCGCTTCAACTTGGTACGTTGGCTCCAAGCCTGCCTTTCCGAGTCTTGGTAGGTTTGCTACAGAAAAAATCATGTTTTGAATTTGATGCCGAACACGGCCTTGGTGACGAAAGTGGCACTTCAGCCTTGGTCCGTCAGCTCCACCAAACCTGACTTTTCGAGAGTGGTACAGTTGGGTTAGAGCAGAAAATGCCGAGGCTCGAAGTTGCTGCCCAACAACAAGGCCTTCTGCACCATAGTTCCTTTTCACAGTTGCGGTCACTCGAGGCAGTTGCGTGAGCAGTGTGCTGAGAGCTACCCCCACTGTCCGAGGAGAGAAAGTAGGAGCAGCTGCACCTTTCGACGGCTACAACCCGAGTACCTTGATAGACCACGCCTGTCTCTTGCACAGCCGCGTAGCGTCGTAGACCAGTTTCCTCCAGCGCAATAGTCTTATCCTCAAAATTTTCTGCCGTAAAATCTACCGAGCTAGGCGGTATGTTCATAATATTGCACTCAGCATCGACCTTCCCTTCCTGATGCCTGAAAATGTCGCCAGGAAACACGGGGATATCGTCTTTCTGAGTTGATAGAGAAGTCATTCAGAAAATATGTAGCTCTTGATCCGATATGGTCAGATTTCTTGATTGATTGAAACCTGATCTTGATTCAGAATTGTAATTAATCCTTGTCATGAGTTGACATGGTGGCAAGCGTGAAGCTTCTACTTCTGAACGACGTAGGATGGCACAAAAGGCTGACAGTTTGAAAATATTCCGATGTGGTTTTTCTTTGTACTTCACACCCTTCCTTGCACCTGTACTTCATCTCAGGAGCCATTTTAGATGTCCTTCGAGTTGCGTCAGCTGCAAACTTGAGGTATACCCTGTCTTTACAGAACCCAACCCTGATCCAGATTTAGTCGCCCTTGATGGTGGTAATGTAGTAATGGTAATGGTAATGATAGTGATAATGGTAATGGTAATGATAATGGTAATGGTGATGGTTATAGTAATTGTAATTGTAATGGTAATGGTAATGGTAATGGTAATGGTAATGGTAGTGGTAATGGTAATGGTATTGGTATTGGTAATGGTAATGGTAATGATAGTGGTAATGGTTATGGTAACGGTAATGGTATTGGTAATTGTAATGGTAGTGGTAGTGGAAATGGTAATGGTAATGGTAGTGGTAGTGGTAGTAGAGCGCCCGCTGCACTTCTTGCACATGTGCGGATCCTTCCGCGTTTTTTGGCTGGAAGCGCTCGTTACGAGTGTTTTTCTTCTGCCGGGTCACATGGCTACGCTTGTCTGGTCCTATTACTGAGGCAACAAGGGTGTGGGAGGGTTGCGAGCATCATCGCTCATCGGCGTTCGCGAATGAAGAGTGCCCGCTGCACATGTGCAGATCCTTCCGCGTTTTGGGGCTGGAAGCGCTCGTTCCGAGCGTTTTTCTTCCGCCGAGTCACGTGGCTGCGCTTGTCTGGGCCTATTGATGGGAAGCGGGAGAATGGGGCGGGGTGATGGAAAGCGGGAGAATGGGGCGGGCTGATTGAAAGCGGGAGAATGGGGCGGGGTGATGGAAAGCGGGAGAATGGGGCGGGGTGATGAAAAGCGGAAGGATGGGGCGAGATGATGGAAAGCGGGAGAATGGGGCGGGGTGATGGAAAGCGGGAGAATGGGGCGGGGTGATGGAAAGCGGGAGAATGGGGCGGGGTGATGGAAAGCGGGAGAATGGGGCGGGGTGATGGAAAGCGGGAGAATGGGGCGGGGTGATGGAAAGCGGGAGAATGGGGCGGAGTGATGGGAAGCGGGAGAATGGGGCGGGGTGATGGAAAGCGGGAGAATGGGGCGGGGTGATGGAAAGAGGGAGAATGGGGCGGGGTGCTGGAAAGCGGGAGAATGGGGCGGGGTGATGGAAAGTGGGAGAATGGGGCGGGGTGATGGAAAGCGGGAGAATGGGGCGGGGTGATGGAAAGCGGGAGAATGGGGCGGGGTGATGGAAAGCGGGAGAATGGGGTGGGGTGATGGAAAGCGGGAGAATGGGGCGGGGTGATGGAAAGCGGAAGAATGGGGCGGGGTGATGGAAAGCGGGAGAATGGGGTGGGGTGATGGAAAGCGGGAGAATGGGGCGGGGTGATGGAAAGCGGAAGAATGGGGCGGAGTGATGGAAAGAGGGAGAATGGGGCGGGGTGCTGGAAAGTGGGAGAATGGGGCAGAGTGATGAAAAGAGGGAGAATGGGGCGGGGTGCTGGAAAGCGGGAGAATGGGGCGGGGTGATGGAAAGCGGGAGAATGGGGCGGGGTGATGGAAGAAGGGAGGATGGGGCGGGGTGATGGAAAGCGGGAGAATGGGGCGGGGTGATGGAAAGCGGGAGAATGGGGCGGGGTGATGGAAAGCGGGAGAATGGGGTGGGGTGATGGAAAGCGGGAGAATGGGGCGGGGTGATGGAAAGCGGAAGAATGGGGCGGAGTGATGGAAAGAGGGAGAATGGGGCGGGGTGCTGGAAAGTGGGAGAATGGGGCAGAGTGATGAAAAGAGGGAGAATGGGGCGGGGTGCTGGAAAGAGGGAGAATGGGGCGGGGTGATGGAAAGTGGGAGAATGGGGCGGGGTGATGGGAAGCGGAAGAGGGGGGGGGGGATGGAAAGCGGGAGAATGGGGCGGGGTGATGGAAAGCGGGAGAATGGGGCGGGGTGATGGAAAGCGGGAGAATGCGGCGGGGTGCTGGAAAGAGGGAGAATGGGGCGGGGTGATGGAAGGAGGGAGGATGGGGCGGGGTGATGGAAAGAGGGAGAATGGGGCGGGGTGCTGGAAAGCGGGAGAATGGGGCCGGGTGATGAAAAGTGGGAGAATGGGGCGGGGTGATGGGAAGCGGGAGAATGGGGCGGGGTGATGGAAAGCAAGAGAATGGGGCGGGGTGATGGAAGGAGGGAGGATGGGGCGGGGTGATGGAAAGCGGGAGAATGGGGCGGGGTGATGGAAGGAGGGAGGATGGGGCGGGGTGATGGAAAGCGGGAGAATGGGGCGGGGTGATGGAAAGCGGGAGAATGGGGCGGGGTGATGGAAAGCGGGAGGATGGGGCGGGGTGATGGAAAGAGGGAGAATGGGGCGGAGTGATGGGAAGCGGGATAATGGGGCGGAGTGATGGAACGCGGGAGAATGGGGCGGGGTGATGGAAAGCGGGAGAATGGGGCGGGGTGATGGAAAGCGGGAGAATGGGGCGGGGTGATGGATAGCGGGAGAATGGGGCGGGGTGATGGAAAGCGGGAGAATGGGGCGGGGTGATGGAAAGCGGGAGAATGGGGCGGGGTGATGGAAAGCAGGAGAATGGGGCGGAGTGATGGGAAGCGGGAGAATGGGGCGGGTTGATGGAAAGCGGGAGAATGGGGCGGGGTGATGGAAAGAGGGAGAATGGGGCGGGGTGATGGAAAGCGGGAGAATGGGGCGGGGTGATGGAAAGCGGGAGAATGGGGCGGGGTGATGGAAAGCAGGAGAATGGGGCGGAGTGATGGGAAGCGGGAGAATGGGGCGGGTTGATGGAAAGCGGGAGGATGGGGCGGGGTGATGGAAAGCAAGAGAATGGGGCGGGGTGATGGAAAGCGGGAGAATGGGGCGGGGTGATGAAAAGCGGGAGAATGGGGCGGGGTGATGGAAAGCGGGAGAATGGGGTGGGGTGATGGAAAGATGGAGAATGGGGCGGGGTGATGGAAAGCAGGAGAATGGGGCGGGGTGATGGAAGGAGGGAGGATGGGGCGGGGTGATGGAAAGCGGGAGAATGGGGCGGGGTGATGGAAAGCGGGAGAATGGGGCGGGGTGATGGAAAGCGGGAGAATGGGGCGGGGTGATGGAAAGCGGGAGAATGGGGCGGGGTGATGGAAAGCGGAAGAATGGGACGGAGTGATGGAAAGAGGGAGAATGGGGCGGGGTGCTGGAAAGTGGGAGAATGGGGCGGAGTGATGAAAAGAGGGAGAATGGGGCGGGGTGCTGGAAAGCGGGAGAATGGGGCGGGGTGATGGAAAGTGGGAGAATGGGGCGGGGTGATGGGAAGCGGAAGATGGGGGGGGGGATGGAAAGCGGGAGAATGGGGCGGGGTGATGGAAAGCGGGAGAATGGGGCGGGGTGATGGAAAGCGGGAGAATGGGGCGGGGTGATGGAAAGCGGGAGAATGCGGCGGGGTGCTGGAAAGCGGGAGAATGGGGCGGGGTGATGGAAGGAGGGAGGATGGGGCGGGGTGATGGAAAGAGGGAGAATGGGGCGGGGTGCTGGAAAGCGGGAGAATGGGGCGGGGTGATGGAAAGTGGGAGAATGGGGCGGGGTGATGGGAAGCGGGAGAATGGGGCGGGGTGATGGAAAGCAGGAGAATGGGGCGGGGTGATGGAAGGAGGGAGGATGGGGCGGGGTGATGGAAAGCGGGAGAATGGGGCGGGGTGATGGAAAGCGGGAGAATGGGGCGGGGTGATGGAAGGAGGGAGGATGGGGCGGGGTGATGGAAAGCGGGAGAATGGGGCGGGGTGGTGGAAGGAGGGAGGATGGGGCGGGGTGATGGAAAGCGGGAGAATGGGGCGGGGTGATGGAAAGCGGGAGGATGGGGCGGGGTGATGGAAAGAGGGAGAATGGGGCGGAGTGATGGAGAGCGGGAGAATGGGGCGGGGTGATGGAAGGAGGGAGGATGGGGCAGGGTGATGGAAAGCGGGAGAATGGGGCGGGGGGATGGAAGAAGGGAGGATGGGGCGGGGTCATGGAAAGCGGGAGAATGGGGCGGGGTGATGGAAAGCGGGAGAATGGGGTGGGGTGATGGAAAGCGGGAGAATGGGGCGGGGTGATGGAAAGCGGAAGAATGGGGCGGAGTGATGGAAAGAGGGAGAATGGGGCGGGGTGCTGGAAAGTGGGAGAATGGGGCAGAGTGATGAAAAGAGGGAGAATGGGGCGGGGTGATGGAAAGCGGGAGAATGGGGCGGGAGAATGGGGTGGGTGATGGAAAGCGGGAGAATGGGGCGGGGTGATGGAAAGCGGGAGAATGGGGCGGGGTGATGGAAAGCGGGAGAATGGGGCGGGGTGATGGAAAGCGGGAGAATGCGGCGGGGTGCTGGAAAGAGGGAGAATGGGGCGGGGTGATGGAAGGAGGGAGGATGGGGGTGGGTGATGGAAAGAGGGAGAATGGGGCGGGGTGCTGGAAAGCGGGAGAATGGGGCCGGGTGATGGAAAGTGGGAGAATGGGGCGGGGTGATGGGAAGCGGGAGAATGGGGCGGGGTGATGGAAAGCAAGAGAATGGGGCGGGGTGATGGAAGGAGGGAGGATGGGGCGGGGTGATGGAAAGCGGGAGAATGGGGCGGGGTGATGGAAGGAGGGAGGATGGGGCGGGGTGATGGAAAGTGGGAGAATGGGGCGGGGTGATGGAAAGCGGGAGAATGGGGCGGGGTGATGGAAAGCGGGAGGATGGGGCGGGGTGATGGAAAGAGGGAGAATGGGGCGGAGTGATGGGAAGCGGGAGAATGGGGCGGAGTGATGGAACGCGGGAGAATGGGGCGGGGTGATGGAAAGCGGGAGAATGGGGCGGGGTGATGGAAAGCGGGAGAATGGGGCGGGGTGATGGAAAGCGGGAGAATGGGGCGGGGTGATGGAAAGCGGGAGAATGGGGCGGGGTGATCGAAAGCGGGAGAATGGGGCGGGGTGATGGAAAGCAGGAGAATGGGGCGGAGTGATGGGAAGCGGGAGAATGGGGCGGGTTGATGGAAAGCGGGAGAATGGGGCGGGGTGATGGAAAGAGGGAGAATGGGGCGGGGTGATGGAAAGCGGGAGAATGGGGCGGGGTGATGGAAAGCGGGAGAATGGGGCGGGGTGATGGAAAGCAGGAGAATGGGGCGGAGTGATGGGAAGCGGGAGAATGGGGCGGGTTGATGGAAAGCGGGAGGATGGGGCGGGTTGATGGAAAGCGGGAGGATGGGGCGGGGTGATGGAAAGCAAGAGAATGGGGCGGGGTGATGGAAAGCGGGAGAATGGGGCGGGGTGATGGAAAGCGGGAGAATGGGGCGGGGTGATGGAAAGATGGAGAATGGGGCGGGGTGATGGAAAGCAGGAGAATGGGGCGGGGTGATGGAAGGAGGGAGGATGGGGCGGGGTGATGGAAAGCGGGAGAATGGGGCGGGGTGATGGAAAGCGGGAGAATGGGGCGGGGTGATGGAAAGCGGGAGAATGGGGCGGGGTGATGGAAAGCGGGAGAATGGGGCGGGGTGATGGAAAGCGGAAGAATGGGGCGGAGTGATGGAAAGAGGGAGAATGGGGCGGGGTGCTGGAAAGTGGGAGAATGGGGCGGAGTGATGAAAAGAGGGAGAATGGGGCGGGGTGCTGGAAAGCGGGAGAATGGGGCGGGGTGATGGAAAGTGGGAGAATGGGGCGGGGTGATGGGAAGCGGAAGAGGGGGGGGGGGATGGAAAGCGGGAGAATGGGGCGGGGTGATGGAAAGCGGGAGAATGGGGCGGGGTGATGGAAAGCGGGAGAATGGGGCGGGGTGATGGAAAGCGGGAGAATGCGGCGGGGTGCTGGAAAGCGGGAGAATGGGGCGGGGTGATGGAAGGAGTGAGGATGGGGCGGGGTGATGGAAAGAGGGAGAATGGGGCGGGGTGCTGGAAAGCGGGAGAATGGGGCGGGGTGATGGAAAGTGGGAGAATGGGGCGGGGTGATGGGAAGCGGGAGAATGGGGCGGGGTGATGGAAAGCGGGAGAATGGGGCGGGGTGATGGAAGGAGGGAGGATGGGGCGGGGTGATGGAAAGCGGGAGGATGGGGCGGGGTGATGGAAAGCGGGAGAATGGGGCGGGGTGATGGAAAGCGGGAGAATGAGGCGGGGTGATGGAAAGCGGGAGAATGCGGCGGGGTGCTGGAAAGCGGGAGAATGGGGCGGGGTGATGGAAGGAGGGAGGATGGGGCGGGGTGATGGAAAGAGGGAGAATGGGGCGGGGTGCTGGAAAGCGGGAGAATGGGGCGGGGTGATGGAAAGTGGGAGAATGGGGCGGGGTGATGGGAAGCGGGAGAATGGGGCGGGGTGATGGAAAGCGGGAGAATGGGGCGGGGTGATGGAAGGAGGGAGGATGGGGCGGGGTGATGGAAAGCGGGAGAATGGGGCGGGGTGGTGGAAGGAGGGAGGATGGGGCGGGGTGATGGAAAGCGGGAGAATGGGGCGGGGTGATGGAAAGCGGGAGGATGGGGCGGGGTGATGGAAAGAGGGAGAATGGGGCGGAGTGATGGGAAGCGGGAGAATGGGGCGGAGTGATGGAACGCGGGAGAATGGGGCGGGGTGATGGAAGGCGGGAGAATGGGGCGGGGTGATGGAAAGCGGGAGAATGGGGCGGGGTGATGGAAAGCGGGAGAACGGGGCGGGGTGATGGAAAGCGGGAGAATGGGGCGGGGTGATGGAAAGCGGGAGAATGGGGCGAGGTGATGGAAAGCGGGAGAATGGGGCGAGGTGATGGAAAGCGGGAGAATGGGGCGGGGTGATGGAAGGAGGGAGGATGGGGCGGGGTGATGGAAAGCGGGAGAATGGGGCGGGGTGGTGGAAGGAGGGAGGATGGGGCGGGGTGATGGAAAGCGGGAGAATGGGGCGGGGTGATGGAAAGCGGGAGGATGGGGCGGGGTGATGGAAAGAGGGAGAATGGGGCGGAGTGATGGGAAGCGGGAGAATGGGGCGGAGTGATGGAACGCGGGAGAATGGGGCGGGGTGATGGAAGGCGGGAGAATGGGGCGGGGTGATGGAAAGCGGGAGAATGGGGCGGGGTGATGGAAAGCGGGAGAACGGGGCGGGGTGATGGAAAGCGGGAGAATGGGGCGGGGTGATGGAAAGCGGGAGAATGGGGCGAGGTGATGGAAAGCGGGAGAATGGGGCGGGGTGATGGAAGGAGCGAGGATGGGGCGGGGTGATGGAAAGCGGGAGAATGGGGCAGGGTGATGCAAAGCGGGAGAATGGGGCGGGGTGATGGAAAGTGGGAGGATGGGGCGGGGTGTTGGAAGGAGGGAGAATGGGGCGGGGTGATGGAAAGCGGGAGAATGGGGCGGGGTGATGGAAGGAGGGAGGATGGGGCGGGGTGATGGAAAGCGGGAGAATGGGGCGGGGTGATGGAAAGCGGGAGAATGGGGCGGGGTGATGGAAAGCGGGAGGATGGGGCGGGGTGATGGAAAGAGGGAGAATGGGGCGGAGTGATGGGAAGCGGGATAATGGGGCGGAGTGATGGAACGCGGGAGAATGGGGCGGGGTGATGGAAAGCGGGAGAATGGGGCGGGGTGATGGAAAGCGGGAGAATGGGGCGGGGTGATGGATAGCGGGAGAATGGGGCGGGGTGATGGAAAGCGGGAGAATGGGGCGGGGTGATGGAAAGCGGGAGAATGGGGCGGGGTGATGGAAAGCAGGAGAATGGGGCGGAGTGATGGGAAGCGGGAGAATGGGGCGGGTTGATGGAAAGCGGGAGAATGGGGCGGGGTGATGGAAAGAGGGAGAATGGGGCGGGGTGATGGAAAGCGGGAGAATGGGGCGGGGTGATGGAAAGCGGGAGAATGGGGCGGGGTGATGGAAAGCAGGAGAATGGGGCGGAGTGATGGGAAGCGGGAGAATGGGGCGGGTTGATGGAAAGCGGGAGGATGGGGCGGGGTGATGGAAAGCAAGAGAATGGGGCGGGGTGATGGAAAGCGGGAGAATGGGGCGGGGTGATGAAAAGCGGGAGAATGGGGCGGGGTGATGGAAAGCGGGAGAATGGGGCGGGGTGATGGAAAGATGGAGAATGGGGCGGGGTGATGGAAAGCAGGAGAATGGGGCGGGGTGATGGAAGGAGGGAGGATGGGGCGGGGTGATGGAAAGCGGGAGAATGGGGTGGGGTGATGGAAAGCGGGAGAATGGGGCGGGGTGATGGAAAGCGGGAGAATGGGGCGGGGTGATGGAAAGCGGGAGAATGGGGCGGGGTGATGGAAAGCGGAAGAATGGGGCGGAGTGATGGAAAGAGGGAGAATGGGGCGGGGTGCTGGAAAGTGGGAGAATGGGGCGGAGTGATGAAAAGAGGGAGAATGGGGCGGGGTGCTGGAAAGCGGGAGAATGGGGCGGGGTGATGGAAAGTGGGAGAATGGGGCGGGGTGATGGGAAGCGGAAGAGGGGGGGGGGGGATGGAAAGCGGGAGAATGGGGCGGGGTGATGGAAAGCGGGAGAATGGGGCGGGGTGATGGAAAGCGGGAGAATGGGGCGGGGTGATGGAAAGCGGGAGAATGCGGCGGGGTGCTGGAAAGCGGGAGAATGGGGCGGGGTGATGGAAGGAGGGAGGATGGGGCGGGGTGATGGAAAGAGGGAGAATGGGGCGGGGTGCTGGAAAGCGGGAGAATGGGGCGGGGTGATGGAAAGTGGGAGAATGGGGCGGGGTGATGGGAAGCGGGAGAATGGGGCGGGGTGATGGAAAGCAGGAGAATGGGGCGGGGTGATGGAAGGAGGGAGGATGGGGCGGGGTGATGGAAAGCGGGAGAATGGGGCGGGGTGATGGAAAGCGGGAGAATGGGGCGGGGTGATGGAAGGAGGGAGGATGGGGCGGGGTGATGGAAAGCGGGAGAATGGGGCGGGGTGGTGGAAGGAGGGAGGATGGGGCGGGGTGATGGAAAGCGGGAGAATGGGGCGGGGTGATGGAAAGCGGGAGGATGGGGCGGGGTGATGGAAAGAGGGAGAATGGGGCGGAGTGATGGAGAGCGGGAGAATGGGGCGGGGTGATGGAAGGAGGGAGGATGGGGCAGGGTGATGGAAAGCGGGAGAATGGGGCGGGGTGATGGAAGAAGGGAGGATGGGGCGGGGTGATGGAAAGCGGGAGAATGGGGCGGGGTGATGGAAAGCGGGAGAATGGGGTGGGGTGATGGAAAGCGGGAGAATGGGGCGGGGTGATGGAAAGCGGAAGAATGGGGCGGAGTGATGGAAAGAGGGAGAATGGGGCGGGGTGCTGGAAAGTGGGAGAATGGGGCAGAGTGATGAAAAGAGGGAGAATGGGGCGGGGTGATGGAAAGCGGGAGAATGGGGCGGGAGAATGGGGCGGGTGATGGAAAGCGGGAGAATGGGGCGGGGTGATGGAAAGCGGGAGAATGGGGCGGGGTGATGGAAAGCGGGAGAATGGGGCGGGGTGATGGAAAGCGGGAGAATGCGGCGGGGTGCTGGAAAGAGGGAGAATGGGGCGGGGTGATGGAAGGAGGGAGGATGGGGCGGGGTGATGGAAAGAGGGAGAATGGGGCGGGGTGCTGGAAAGCGGGAGAATGGGGCCGGGTGATGGAAAGTGGGAGAATGGGGCGGGGTGATGGGAAGCGGGAGAATGGGGCGGGGTGATGGAAAGCAAGAGAATGGGGCGGGGTGATGGAAGGAGGGAGGATGGGGCGGGGTGATGGAAAGCGGGAGAATGGGGCGGGGTGATGGAAGGAGGGAGGATGGGGCGGGGTGATGGAAAGCGGGAGAATGGGGCGGGGTGATGGAAAGCGGGAGAATGGGGCGGGGTGATGGAAAGCGGGAGGATGGGGCGGGGTGATGGAAAGAGGGAGAATGGGGCGGAGTGATGGGAAGCGGGAGAATGGGGCGGAGTGATGGAACGCGGGAGAATGGGGCGGGGTGATGGAAAGCGGGAGAATGGGGCGGGGTGATGGAAAGCGGGAGAATGGGGCGGGGTGATGGAAAGCGGGAGAATGGGGCGGGGTGATGGAAAGCGGGAGAATGGGGCGGGGTGATGGAAAGCGGGAGAATGGGGCGGGGTGATGGAAAGCAGGAGAATGGGGCGGAGTGATGGGAAGCGGGAGAATGGGGCGGGTTGATGGAAAGCGGGAGAATGGGGCGGGGTGATGGAAAGAGGGAGAATGGGGCGGGGTGATGGAAAGCGGGAGAATGGGGCAGGGTGATGGAAAGCGGGAGAATGGGGCGGGGTGATGGAAAGCAGGAGAATGGGGCGGAGTGATGGGAAGCGGGAGAATGGGGCGGGTTGATGGAAAGCGGGAGGATGGGGCGGGGTGATGGAAAGCAAGAGAATGGGGCGGGGTGATGGAAAGCGGGAGAATGGGGCGGGGTGATGAAAAGCGGGAGAATGGGGCGGGGTGATGGAAAGCGGGAGAATGGGGCGGGGTGATGGAAAGATGGAGAATGGGGCGGGGTGATGGAAAGCAGGAGAATGGGGCGGGGTGATGGAAGGAGGGAGGATGGGGCGGGGTGATGGAAAGCGGGAGAATGGGGCGGGGTGATGGAAAGCGGGAGAATGGGGCGGGGTGATGGAAAGCGGGAGAATGGGGCGGGGTGATGGAAAGCGGGAGAATGGGGCGGGGTGATGGAAAGCGGAAGAATGGGGCGGAGTGATGGAAAGAGGGAGAATGGGGCGGGGTGCTGGAAAGTGGGAGAATGGGGCGGAGTGATGAAAAGAGGGAGAATGGGGCGGGGTGCTGGAAAGCGGGAGAATGGGGCGGGGTGATGGAAAGTGGGAGAATGGGGCGGGGTGATGGGAAGCGGAAGAGGGGGGGGGGGGATGGAAAGCGGGAGAATGGGGCGGGGTGATGGAAAGCGGGAGAATGGGGCGGGGTGATGGAAAGCGGGAGAATGGGGCGGGGTGATGGAAAGCGGGAGAATGCGGCGGGGTGCTGGAAAGCGGGAGAATGGGGCGGGGTGATGGAAGGAGGGAGGATGGGGCGGGGTGATGGAAAGAGGGAGAATGGGGCGGGGTGCTGGAAAGCGGGAGAATGGGGCGGGGTGATGGAAAGTGGGAGAATGGGGCGGGGTGATGGGAAGCGGGAGAATGGGGCGGGGTGATGGAAAGCGGGAGAATGGGGCGGGGTGATGGAAGGAGGGAGGATGGGGCGGGGTGATGGAAAGCGGGAGAATGGGGCGGGGTGATGGAAAGCGGGAGAATGGGGCGGGGTGATGGAAAGCGGGAGAATGAGGCGGGGTGATGGAAAGCGGGAGAATGCGGCGGGGTGCTGGAAAGCGGGAGAATGGGGCGGGGTGATGGAAGGAGGGAGGATGGGGCGGGGTGATGGAAAGAGGGAGAATGGGGCGGGGTGCTGGAAAGCGGGAGAATGGGGCGGGGTGATGGAAAGTGGGAGAATGGGGCGGGGTGATGGGAAGCGGGAGAATGGGGCGGGGTGATGGAAAGCGGGAGAATGGGGCGGGGTGATGGAAGGAGGGAGGATGGGGCGGGGTGATGGAAAGCGGGAGAATGGGGCGGGGTGGTGGAAGGAGGGAGGATGGGGCGGGGTGATGGAAAGCGGGAGAATGGGGCGGGGTGATGGAAAGCGGGAGGATGGGGCGGGGTGATGGAAAGAGGGAGAATGGGGCGGAGTGATGGGAAGCGGGAGAATGGGGCGGAGTGATGGAACGCGGGAGAATGGGGCGGGGTGATGGAAGGCGGGAGAATGGGGCGGGATGATGGAAAGCGGGAGAATGGGGCGGGGTGATGGAAAGCGGGAGAACGGGGCGGGGTGATGGAAAGCGGGAGAATGGGGCGGGGTGATGGAAAGCGGGAGAATGGGGCGAGGTGATGGAAAGCGGGAGAATGGGGCGGAGTGATGGGAAGCGGGAGAATGGGGCGGGGTGATGGAAAGCGGAAGAATGGGGCGGGGTGATGGAAAGAGGGAGAATGCGGCGGGGTGCTGGAAAGCGGGAGAATGGGGCGGGGTGATGGAAAGTGGGAGAATGGGGCGGGGTGATGGGAAGCGGGAGAATGGGGCGTAGTGATGGAAAGCGGGAGAATGGGGCGGGGTGATGGAAGGAGCGAGGATGGGGCGGGGTGATGGAAAGCGGGAGAATGGGGCAGGGTGATGCAAAGCGGGAGAATGGGGCGGGGTGATGGAAAGTGGGAGGATGGGGCGGGGTGTTGGAAAGAGGGAAAATGGGGCGGAGTGATGGGAAGCGGGAGAATGGGGCGGAGTGATGGAACGCGGGAGAATGGGGCGGGGTGATGGAAAGCGGGAGAATGGGGCGGGGTGATGGAAAGAGGGAGAATGGGGCGGGGTGATGGAAAGCGGGAGAATGGGGCGGGGTGATGGAAAGCGGGAGAATGGGGCGGGGTGATGGAAAGCGGGAGAATGGGGCGGGGTGATGGAAAGCGGGAGAATGGGGCGGGGTGATGGAAAGCGGGAGAATGGGGCGGGGTGATGGAAAGCGGGAGAATGGGGCGGGGTGATGGAAAGCAGGAGAATGGGGCGGGGTGATGGAAAGCGGGAGAATGCGGCGGGGTGCTGGAAAGCGGGAGAATGGGGCGGGGTGATGGAAAGCGGGAGAATGGGGCGGGGTGATGGAAAGCGGGAGAATGCGGCGGGGTGCTGGAAAGCGGGAGAATGGGGCAGGGTGATGGAAGGAGGGAGAATGGGGCGGGGTGCTGGAAAGCGGGAGAATCGGGCGGGGTGATGGGAAGCGGGAGAATGAGGCGGGGTGATGGAAAGCGGGAAAATGGGGCGGGGTGATGGAAAGACGGAGAATGGGGCGGAGTGCTGGAAAGCGGGAGAATGGGGCGGGGTGATGGAAGGAGGGAGGATGGGGCAGGGTGATGGAAAGCGGGAGGATGGGGTGGGGTGATGGAAAGCGGGAGAATGGGGCGGGGTGATGGAAAGCGGGAGAATGGGGCGGGGTGATGGAAAGAGGGAGAATGGGGCGGGGTGATGGAAAGAGGGAGAATGGGGCGGGGTGATGGAAGGAGGGAGGATGGGGCGGGGTGCTGGAAAGCGGGAGAATGGGGCGGGGTGATGGAAAGCGGGAGAATGGGGCGGGGTGATGGGAAGCGGGAGAATGGGGCGGGGTGATGGGAAGCGGGAGAATGGGGCGGGGTGATGGAAAGCGGGAGAATGGGGCGGAGTGCTGGAAAGCGGGAGAATGGGGCGGGGTGATGGAAGGAGGGAGGATGGGGCAGGGTGATGGAAAGCGGGAGAATGGGGCGGGGTAATGGAAAGCGGGAGAATGGGGCGGGGTGATGGAAAGCGGGAGGATGGGGCGGGGTGCTGGAAAGCGGGAGAATGGGGCGGGGTGATGGAAAGCGGGAGAATGGGGCGAGGTGATGAAAGCCGGAGAATGGGGCAGGGTGATGGAGAGCGGGAGAATGGGGCGGGGTGATGGAAAGCGGGAGAATGGGGCGGGGTGATGGAAAGAGGGAGAATGGGGCGGGGTGATGGAAAGCGGGAGAATGGGGCGGGGTGATGGAACGCAGGAGAATGGGGCGGGGTGATGGAAAGCGGGAGAATGGGGCGGGGTGATGGAAAGCGGGAGAATGGGGCGGGGTGATGGAAAGCGGGAGAATGGGGCGGGGTGATGGAAAGCGGGAGAATGGGGCGGGGTGATGGAAAGTGGGAGAATGGGGCGGGGTGATGGAAAGCGGGAGAATGGGGCGGGGTGATGGAAAGCAGAAGAATGGGGCGGAGTGATGGAAAGAGGGAGAATGGGGCGGGGTGCTGGAAAGCGGGAGGATGGGGCGGAGTGATGGAAAGCGGAAGAATGGGGCGGGGTGATGGGAAGCGGGAGAATGGGGCGTGGTGATGGAAAGCGGGAGAATGGGGCGGGGTGATGGAAAGCGGGAGAATGGGGCGGGGTGATGGAAAGCGGGAGAATGGGGCAGAGTGATAGAAAGCGGGAGAATGTGGCGGGGTGATGGAAAGCGGGAGAATGGGGCGGGGAGATGGAAAGAGGGAGAATGGGGCAGGGTGATGGAAAGCGGGAGAATGGGGCAGGGTGATGGAAAGCGGGAGAATGGGGCGGGGTGATGGAAAGTGGGAGAATGGGGCGGGGTGATGGAAAGAGGGAGAATGGGGCGGGGTGATGGAAAGAGGGAGAATGGGGCGGGGTGATGGAAGGAGGGAGGATGGGGCGGGGTGCTGGAAAGCGGGAGAATGGGGCGGGGTGATCGAAAGCGGGAGAATGGGGCGGGGTGATGGGAAGCGGGAGAATGGGGCGGGGTGATGGGAAGCGGGAGAATGGGGCGGGGTGATGGAAAGCGGGAGAATGGGGCGGGGTGATGGAAAGCGGGAGAATGGGACGGGGTGATGCAAAGCGGGAGAATGGGGCGGGGTGCTGGAAAGCGGGAGAATGGGGCGGGGTGATGGAAAGCGGGAGAATGGGGCGGGGTGCTGGAAAGCGGGAGAATGGGGCAGAGTGATAGAAAGCGGGAGAATGGGGCGGGGTGATGGAAAGCGGGAGAATGGGGCGGGGAGATGGAAAGAGGGAGAATGGGGCGGGGTGATGGAAAGCGGGAGAATGAGGCGGGGTGATGGAAAGCGGGAGAATGGGGCGGGGTGATGGAAAGCAGGAGAATGGGGCGAGGTGATGGAAAGTGGGAGAATGGGGCGGGGTGATGGAAAGAGGGAGAATGGGGCGGGGTGATGGAAAGAGGGAGAATGGGGCGGGGTGATGGAAGGAGGGAGGATGGGGCTGGGTGCTGGAAAGCGGGAGAATGGGGCGGGGTGATGGAAAGCGGGAGAATGGGGCGGGTTGATGGGAAGCGGGAGAATGGGGCGGGGTGATGGGAAGCGGGAGAATGGGGCGGGGTGATGGAAAGCGGGAGAATGGGGCGGGGTGATGGAAAGAGGGAGAATAGGGCGGGGTGATGGAAAGCGGGAGAATGGGGCGGGGTGATGGAAAGCGGGAGAATGGGGCGGGGTGATGGAAAGCGGGAGATTGGGGCGGGGTGATGGAAAGCGGGAGAATGGGGCGGGGTGATGGAAAGCTGGAGAATGCGGCGGGGTGCTGGAAAGCGGGAGAATGGGGCGGGGTGATGGAAAGTGGGAGAATGGGGCGGGGTGGTGGAAAGCGGGAGAATGCGGCGGGGTGCTGGAAAGCGGGAGAATGGGGCAGGGTGATGGAAGGAGGGAGGATGGGGCGGGGTGATGGAAAGAGGGAGATTGGGGCGGGGTGCTGGAAAGCGGGAGAATCGGGCGGGGTGATGGGAAGCGGGAGAATGAGGCGGGGTGATGGAAAGCGGGAAAATGGGGCGGGGTGATGGAAAGACGGAGAATGGGGCGGAGTGCTGGAAAGCGGGAGAATGGGGCGGGGTGATGGAAGGAGGGAGGATGGGGCAGGGTGATGGAAAGTGGGAGAATGGGGCGGGGTAATGGAAAGCGGGAGAATGGGGCGGGGTGATGGAAAGCGGGAGGGTGGGGCGGGGTGCTGGAAAGCGGGAGAATGGGGCGGGGTGATGGAAAGCGGGAGAATGGGGCGAGGTGATGAAAGCCGGAGAATGGGGCAGGGTGATGGAGAGCGGGAGAATGGGGCGGGGTGATGGAATGAGGGAGGATGGGGCAGGGTGATGGAAAGCGGGAGGATGGGGCGGGGTGATGGAAAGAGGGAGAATGGGGCGGGGTGATGGAAAGCGGGAGAATGGGGCGGGGTGATGGAACGCAGGAGAATGGGGCGGGGTGATGGAAAGCGGGAGAATGGGGCGGGGTGATGGAAAGCGGGAGAATGGGGCGGGGTGATGGAAAGCGGGAGAATGGGGCGGGGTGATGGAAAGCGGGAGAATGGGGCGGGGTGATGGAAAGCGGGAGAATGGGGCGGGGTGATGGAAAGCGGGAGAATGGGGCGGGGTGATGGAAAGCGGGAGAATGGGGCGGGGTGATGAAAAGCGGGAGAATGGGGCGGGTGATGGAAAGCGGGAGAATGGGGCGGGGTGATGGAAAGCGGGAGAATGGGGCGGGGTGATGGAAAGCGGGAGAATGGGGCGGGGTGACGGAAAGCGGAAGAATGGGGCGGGGTGCTGGAAAGCGGGAGAATGGGGCGGGGTGCTAAAAAGCGGGAGAATGGGGCGGGGTGCTGGAAAGTGGGAGAATGGGGCGGAGTGATGGGAAGAGGGAGAATGGGGCGGGGGGATGGAAAGAGGGAGATTGGGGCGGGGTGCTGGAAAGCGGGAGAATCGGGCGGGGTGATGGGAAGCGGGAGAATGAGGCGGGGTGATGGAAAGCGGGAAAATGGGGCGGGGTGATGGAAAGACGGAGAATGGGGCGGAGTGCTGGAAAGCGGGAGAATGGGGCGGGGTGATGGAAGGAGGGAGGATGGGGCAGGGTGATGGAAAGCGGGAGAATGGGGCGGGGTGATGGAAAGCGGGAGAATGGGGCGGGGTGATGGAAAGCGGGAGGGTGGGGCGGGGTGCTGGAAAGCGGGAGAATGGGGCGGGGTGATGGAAAGAGGGAGAATGGGGCGGGGTGATGGAAAGAGGGAGAATGGGGCGGGGTGATGGAAAGCGGGAGAATGGGGCGGGGTGATGGAACGCAGGAGAATGGGGCGGGGTGATGGAAAGCGGGAGAATGGGGCGGGGTGATGGAAAGCGGGAGAATGGGGCGGGGTGATGGAAAGCGGGAGAATGGGGCGGGGTGATGGAAAGCGGGAGAATGGGGCGGGGTGATGGAAAGCGGGAGAATGGGGCGGGGTGATGGAAAGCGGGAGAATGGGGCGGGGTGATGGAAAGCGGGAGAATGGGGCGGGGTGATGGAAAGCGGGAGAATTGGGCGGGGTGATGGAAAGCGGGAGAATGGGGCGGAGTGATGGGAAGCGGGAGAATGGGGCGGGGTGATGGAAAGCGGGAGAATGGGGAGGGGTGATGGAAAGAGGGAGAATGCGGCGGGGTGATGGAAAGCGGGAGAATGGGGCGGGTGATGGAAGGAGGGAGGATGGGGCGGGGTGATGGAAAGCGGGAGAATGGGGCGGGGTGATGGAAGGAGGGAGGATGGGGCGGGGTGCTGGAAAGCGGGAGAATGGGGCGGGGTGATGGAAAGTGGGAGAATGGGGCGGGGTGATGGGAAGCGGGAGAATGGGGCGTAGTGATGGAAAGCGGGAGAATGGGGCGGGGTGATGGAAGGAGCGAGGATGGGGCGGGGTGATGGAAAGCGGGAGAATGGGGCGGGGTGATGCAAAGCGGGAGAATGGGGCGGGGTGATGGAAAGTGGGAGGATGGGGCGGGGTGATTGAAAGAGGGAGAATGGGGCGGAGTGATGGGAAGCGGGAGAATGGGGCGGAGTGATGGAACGCGGGAGAATGGGGCGGGGTGATGGAAAGCGGGAGAATGGGGCGGGGTGATGGAAAGAGGGAGAATGGGGCGGGGTGATGGAAAGCGGGAGAATGGGGCGGGGTGATGGAAAGCGGGAGAATGGGGCGGGGTGATGGAAAGCGGGAGAATGGGGCGGGGTGATGGAAAGCGGGAGAATGGGGCGGGGTGATGGAAAGCGGGAGAATGGGGCGGGGTGATGGAAAGCGGGAGAATGGGGCGGGGTGATGGAAAGCGGGAGAATGGGGCGGGGTGATGGAAAGCGGGAGAATGGGGCGGGGTGATGGAAAGCGGGAGAATGGGGCGGGGTGATGAAAAGCGGGAGAATGGGGCGGGGTGATGGAAAGCGGGAGAATGGGGCGGGGTGATGGAAAGAGGGAGAATGGGGCGGGGTGATGGAAAGCGGGAGAATGGGGCGGGGTGATGGAAGGAGGGAGGATGGGGCGGGGTGATGGAAAGCGGGAGAATGGGGCGGGGTGATGGAAAGCGGAAGAATGGGGCGGGGTGATGGAAAGCGGGAGAATGGGGCGGGGTGATGGAAAGCGGGAGAATGGGGCGGGGTGATGGAAAGCAGAAGAATGGGGCGGAGTGATGGAAAGAGGGAGAATGGGGCGGGGTGCTGGAAAGCGGGAGGATGGGGCGGAGTGATGGAAAGCGGAAGAATGGGGCGGGGTGATGGGAAGCGGGAGAATGGGGCGTGGTGATGGAAAGCGGGAGAATGGGGCGGGGTGATGGAAAGCGGGAGAATGGGGCGGGGTGATGGAAAGCGGGAGAATGGGCCAGAGTGATAGAAAGCGGGAGAATGGGGCGGGGTGATGGAAAGCGGGAGAATGGGGCGGGGAGATGGAAAGAGGGAGAATGGGGCGGGGTGATGGAAAGCGGGAGAATGGGGCGGGGTGATGGAAAGCGGGAGTATGGGGCGGGGTGATGGAAAGCAAGAGAATGGGCCAGAGTGATAGAAAGCGGGAGAATGGGGCGGGGTGATGGAAAGCGGGAGAATGGGGCGGGGAGATGGAAAGAGGGAGAATGGGGCGGGGTGATGGAAAGCGGGAGAATGGGGCGGGGTGATGGAAAGCGGGAGTATGGGGCGGGGTGATGGAAAGTGGGAGAATGGGGCGGGGTGATGGAAAGCGGGAGAATGGGGCGGGGTGATGGAAAGCGGGAGAATGGGGCGGGGTGACGGAAAGCGGAAGAATGGGGCGGGGTGCTGGAAAGCGGGAGAATGGGGCGGGGTGCTGGAAAGCGGGAGAATGGGGCGGGGTGCTGGAAAGTGGGAGAATGGGGCGGAGTGATGGGAAGAGGGAGAATGGGGCGGGGGGATGGAAAGCGGGAGAATGGGGCGGGATGATGGAAAGCGGGAGAATGGGGCGGGGTGATGGAAAGCGGGAGAATGGGGCGGGGTGATGGAAAGCGGGAGAATGCGGCGGGGTGCTGGAAAGCGGGAGAATGGGGCGGGGTGATGGAAGGAGGGAGGATGGGGCGGGGTGATGGAAAGCGGGAGAATGGGGCGGGGTGATGGAAGGAGGGAGGATGGGGCGGGGTGATGGAAAGCGGGAGAATGGGGCGGTGTGATGGAAAGCGGGAGAATGGGGCGGGGTGATGGAAAGCGGGAGGATGGGGCGGGGTGATGGAAAGAGGGAGAATGGGGCGGAGTGATGGGAAGCGGGAGAATGGGGCGGAGTGATGGAACGCGAGAGAATGGGGCGGGGTGATGGAAAGCGGGAGAATGGGGCGGGGTGATGGAAAGCGGGAGAATGGGGCGGGGTGATGGAAAGCGGGAGAATGGGGCGGGGTGATGGAAAGCGGGAGAATGGGGCGGGGTGATGGAAAGCGGGAGAATGGGGCGGGGTGATGGAAAGCGGGAGAATGGGGCGGAGTGATGGGAAGCGGGAGAATGGGGCGGGGTGATGGAAAGCGGGAGAATGGGGCGGGGTGATGGAAAGAGGGAGAATGGGGCGGGGTGATGGAAAGCGGGAGAATGGGGCGGGGTGATGGAACGCAGGAGAATGGGGCGGGGTGATGGAAAGCGGGAGAATGGGGCGGGGTGATGGAAAGCGGGAGAATGGGGCGGGGTGAGGGAAAGCGGGAGAATGGGGCGGGGTGATGGAAAGCGGGAGAATGGGGCGGGGTGATGGAAAGCGGGAGAATGGGGCGGGGTGATGGAAAGCGGGAGAATGGGGCGGGGTGATGGAAAGCGGGAGGATGGGGCGGGGTGATGGAAAGAGGGAGAATGGGGCGGAGTGATGGGAAGCGGGAGAATGGGGCGGAGTGATGGAACGCGGGAGAATGGGGCGGGGTGATGGAAAGCGGGAGAATGGGGCGGGGTGATGGAAAGCGGGAGAATGGGGCGGGTGATGGAAGGAGGGAGGATGGGGCGGGGTGATGGAAAGCGGGAGAATGGGGCGGGGTGATGGAAGGAGGGAGGATGGGGCGGGGTGCTGGAAAGCGGGAGAATGGGGCGGGGTGATGGAAAGTGGGAGAATGGGGCGGGGTGATGGAAAGCGGGAGAATGGGGCGGGGTGATGGAAAGCGAGAGAATGGGGCGGGGTGATGGAAAGCGGGAGAATGGGGCGGGGTGATGGAAAGCGGGAGAATGGGGTGGGGTGATGGAAAGCGGAAGAATGGGGCGGGGTGCTGGAAAGCGGGAGAATGGGGCGGGGTGCTGGAAAGTGGGAGAATGGGGCGGAGTGATGGGAAGAGGGAGAATGGGGCGGGGGGATGGAAAGCGGGAGAATGGGGCGGGGTGATGGAAAGCGGGAGAATGGGGCGGGGTGATGGAAAGCGGGAGAATGGGGCGGGGTGATGGAAAGCGGGAGAATGGGGCGGGGTGGTGGAAAGTGGGAGAATGGGGCGGGGTGATGGAAAGAGGGAGAATGGGGCGGGGTGATGGAAGGAGGGAGGATGGGGCGGGGTGCTGGAAAGCGGGAGAATGGGGCGGGGTGATGGAAAGCGGGAGAATGGGGCGGGGTGATGGGAAGCGGGAGAATGGGGCGGGGTGATGGGAAGCGGGAGAATGGGGCGGGGTGATGGAAAGCGGGAGAATGGGGCGGGGTGACGGAAAGCGGAAGAATGGGGCGGGGTGCTGGAAAGCGGGAGAATGGGGCGGGGTGCTAAAAAGCGGGAGAATGGGGCGGGGTGCTGGAAAGTGGGAGAATGGGGCGGAGTGATGGGAAGAGGGAGAATGGGGCGGGGGGATGGAAAGAGGGAGATTGGGGCGGGGTGCTGGAAAGCGGGAGAATCGGGCGGGGTGATGGGAAGCGGGAGAATGAGGCGGGGTGATGGAAAGCGGGAAAATGGGGCGGGGTGATGGAAAGACGGAGAATGGGGCGGAGTGCTGGAAAGCGGGAGAATGGGGCGGGGTGATGGAAGGAGGGAGGATGGGGCAGGGTGATGGAAAGCGGGAGAATGGGGCGGGGTGATGGAAAGCGGGAGAATGGGGCGGGGTGATGGAAAGCGGGAGGGTGGGGCGGGGTGATGGAAAGCGGGAGAATGGGGCGGGGTGATGGAAAGAGGGAGAATGGGGCGGGGTGATGGAAAGAGGGAGAATGGGGCGGGGTGATGGAAAGCGGGAGAATGGGGCGGGGTGATGGAACGCAGGAGAATGGGGCGGGGTGATGGAAAGCGGGAGAATGGGGCGGGGTGATGGAAAGCGGGAGAATGGGGCGGGGTGATGGAAAGCGGGAGAATGGGGCGGGGTGATGGAAAGCGGGAGAATGGGGCGGGGTGATGGAAAGCGGGAGAATGGGGCGGGGTGATGGAAAGCGGGAGAATGGAGCGGGGTGATGGAAAGCGGGAGAATGGGGCGGGGTGATGGAAAGCGGGAGAATTGGGCGGGGTGATGGAAAGCGGGAGAATGGGGCGGAGTGATGGGAAGCGGGAGAATGGGGCGGGGTGATGGAAAGCGGGAGAATGGGGAGGGGTGATGGAAAGAGGGAGAATGCGGCGGGGGTGATGGAAAGCGGGAGAATGGGGCGGGTGATGGAAGGAGGGAGGATGGGGCGGGGTGATGGAAAGCGGGAGAATGGGGCGGGGTGATGGAAGGAGGGAGGATGGGGCGGGGTGCTGGAAAGCGGGAGAATGGGGCGGGGTGATGGAAAGTGGGAGAATGGGGCGGGGTGATGGGAAGCGGGAGAATGGGGCGTAGTGATGGAAAGCGGGAGAATGGGGCGGGGTGATGGAAGGAGCGAGGATGGGGCGGGGTGATGGAAAGCGGGAGAATGGGGCGGGGTGATGCAAAGCGGGAGAATGGGGCGGGGTGATGGAAAGTGGGAGGATGGGGCGGGGTGATTGAAAGAGGGAGAATGGGGCGGAGTGATGGGAAGCGGGAGAATGGGGCGGAGTGATGGAACGCGGGAGAATGGGGCGGGGTGATGGAAAGCGGGAGAATGGGGCGGGGTGATGGAAAGAGGGAGAATGGGGCGGGGTGATGGAAAGCGGGAGAATGGGGCGGGGTGATGGAAAGCGGGAGAATGGGGCGGGGTGATGGAAAGCGGGAGAATGGGGCGGGGTGATGGAAAGCGGGAGAATGGGGCGGGGTGATGGAAAGCGGGAGAATGGGGCGGGGTGATGGAAAGCGGGAGAATGGGGCGGGGTGATGGAAAGCGGGAGAATGGGGCGGGGTGATGGAAAGCGGGAGAATGGGGCGGGGTGATGGAAAGCGGGAGAATGGGGCGGGGTGATGAAAAGCGGGAGAATGGGGCGGGGTGATGGAAAGCGGGAGAATGGGGCGGGGTGATGGAAAGAGGGAGAATGGGGCGGGGTGATGGAAAGCGGGAGAATGGGGCGGGGTGATGGAAGGAGGGAGGATGGGGCGGGGTGATGGAAAGCGGGAGAATGGGGCGGGGTGATGGAAAGCGGAAGAATGGGGCGGGGTGATGGAAAGCGGGAGAATGGGGCGGGGTGATGGAAAGCGGGAGAATGGGGCGGGGTGATGGAAAGCAGAAGAATGGGGCGGAGTGATGGAAAGAGGGAGAATGGGGCGGGGTGCTGGAAAGCGGGAGGATGGGGCGGAGTGATGGAAAGCGGAAGAATGGGGCGGGGTGATGGGAAGCGGGAGAATGGGGCGTGGTGATGGAAAGCGGGAGAATGGGGCGGGGTGATGGAAAGCGGGAGAATGGGGCGGGGTGATGGAAAGCGGGAGAATGGGCCAGAGTGATAGAAAGCGGGAGAATGGGGCGGGGTGATGGAAAGCGGGAGAATGGGGCGGGGAGATGGAAAGAGGGAGAATGGGGCGGGGTGATGGAAAGCGGGAGAATGGGGCGGGGTGATGGAAAGCGGGAGTATGGGGCGGGGTGATGGAAAGTGGGAGAATGGGGCGGGGTGATGGAAAGCGGGAGAATGGGGCGGGGTGATGGAAAGCGGGAGAATGGGGCGGGGTGACGGAAAGCGGAAGAATGGGGCGGGGTGCTGGAAAGCGGGAGAATGGGGCGGGGTGCTGGAAAGCGGGAGAATGGGGCGGGGTGCTGGAAAGTGGGAGAATGGGGCGGAGTGATGGGAAGAGGGAGAATGGGGCGGGGGGATGAAAAGCGGGAGAATGGGGCGGGATGATGGAAAGCGGGAGAATGGGGCGGGGTGATGGAAAGCGGGAGAATGGGGCGGGGTGATGGAAAGCGGGAGAATGCGGCGGGGTGCTGGAAAGCGGGAGAATGGGGCGGGGTGATGGAAGGAGGGAGGATGGGGCGGGGTGATGGAAAGCGGGAGAATGGGGCGGGGTGATGGAAGGAGGGAGGATGGGGCGGGGTGATGGAAAGCGGGAGAATGGGGCGGTGTGATGGAAAGCGGGAGAATGGGGCGGGGTGATGGAAAGCGGGAGGATGGGGCGGGGTGATGGAAAGAGGGAGAATGGGGCGGAGTGATGGGAAGCGGGAGAATGGGGCGGAGTGATGGAACGCGAGAGAATGGGGCGGGGTGATGGAAAGCGGGAGAATGGGGCGGGGTGATGGAAAGCGGGAGAATGGGGCGGGGTGATGGAAAGCGGGAGAATGGGGCGGGGTGATGGAAAGCGGGAGAATGGGGCGGGGTGATGGAAAGCGGGAGAATGGGGCGGGGTGATGGAAAGCGGGAGAATGGGGCGGAGTGATGGGAAGCGGGAGAATGGGGCGGGGTGATGGAAAGCGGGAGAATGGGGCGGGGTGATGGAAAGAGGGAGAATGGGGCGGGGTGATGGAAAGCGGGAGAATGGGGCGGGGTGATGGAACGCAGGAGAATGGGGCGGGGTGATGGAAAGCGGGAGAATGGGGCGGGGTGATGGAAAGCGGGAGAATGGGGCGGGGTGAGGGAAAGCGGGAGAATGGGGCGGGGTGATGGAAAGCGGGAGAATGGGGCGGGGTGATGGAAAGCGGGAGAATGGGGCGGGGTGATGGAAAGCGGGAGAATGGGGCGGGGTGATGGAAAGCGGGAGGATGGGGCGGGGTGATGGAAAGAGGGAGAATGGGGCGGAGTGATGGGAAGCGGGAGAATGGGGCGGAGTGATGGAACGCGGGAGAATGGGGCGGGGTGATGGAAAGCGGGAGAATGGGGCGGGGTGATGGAAAGCGGGAGAATGGGGCGGGTGATGGAAGGAGGGAGGATGGGGCGGGGTGATGGAAAGCGGGAGAATGGGGCGGGGTGATGGAAGGAGGGAGGATGGGGCGGGGTGCTGGAAAGCGGGAGAATGGGGCGGGGTGATGGAAAGTGGGAGAATGGGGCGGGGTGATGGGGAAGCGGGAGAATGGGGCGTAGTGATGGAAAGCGGGAGAATGGGGCGGGGTGATGGAAGGAGGGAGGATGGGGCGGGGTGATGGAAAGCGGGAGAATGGGGCGGGGTGATGGAAAGCGGGAGAATAGGGCGGGGTGATGGAAAGCGGGAGGATGGGGCGGGGTGATGGAAAGAGGGAGAATGGGGCGGAGTGATGGGAAGCGGGAGAATGGGGCGGAGTGATGGAACGCGAGAGAATGGGGCGGGGTGATGGAAAGCGGGAGAATGGGGCGGGTTGATGGAAAGCGGGAGAATGGGGCGGGGTGATGGAAAGCGGGAGAATGGGGCGGGGTGATGGAAAGCGGGAGAATGGGGCGGGGTGATGGAAAGCGGGAGAATGGGGCGGGGTGATGGAAAGCGGGAGAATGGGGCTGGGTGATGGAAAGTGGGAGAATGGGGCGGAGTGATGGGAAGCGGGAGAATGGGGCGGGGTGATGGGAAGCGGGAGAATGGGGCGGGGTGATGGAAAGAGGGAGAATGCGGCGGGGTGATGGAAAGCGGGAGAATGGGGCGGGTGATGGAAGGAGGGAGGAAGGGGCGGGGTGATGGAAAGCGGGAGAATGGGGCGGGGTGATGGAAAGCGGGAGAATGGGGCGGGGTGATGGAAAGCGGGAGGATGGGGCGGGGTGATGGAAAGAGGGAGAATGGGGCGGAGTGATGGGAAGCGGGAGAATGGGGCGGAGTGATGGAACGCGAGAGAATGGGGCGGGGTGATGGAAAGCGGGAGAATGGGGCGGGGTGATGGAAAGCGGGAGAATGGGGCGGGGTGATGGAAAGCGGGAGAATGGGGCGGGGTGATGAAAAGCGGGAGAATGGGGCGGGTGATGGAAAGCGGGAGAATGGGGCGGGGTGATGGAAAGAGGGAGAATGGGGCGGGGTGATGGAAAGCGGGAGAATGGGGCGGGTGATGGAAGGAGGAAGGATGGGGCGGGGTGATGGAAAGCGGGAGAATGGGGCGGGGTGATGGAAAGCGGGAGAATGGGGCGGGGTGATGGAAAGCGGGAGAATGGGGCGGGTGATGGAAAGCGGGAGAATGGGTGGGGTGATGGAAAGCGGAAGAATGGGGCGGGGTGCTGGAAAGCGGGAGAATGGGGCGGGGTGCTGGAAAGTGGGAGAATGGGGCGGAGTGATGGGAAGAGGGGAGAATGGGGCGGGGGGATGGAAAGCGGGAGAATGGGGCGGGGTGATGGAAAGCGGGAGAATGGGGCGGGGTGATGGAAAGCGGGAGAATGGGGCAAGGTGATGGAAAGCGGGAGAATGGGGCAGGGTGATGAAAGCGGGAGAATGGGGCGGGTGATGGAAAGCGGGAGAATGGGGCGGGTGATGGAAAGAGGGAGAATGGGGCGGGGTGATGGAAAGAGGGAGAATGGGGCGGGGTGATGGAAAGCGGGAGAATGGGGCGGGTGATGGAAGGAGGAAGGATGGGGCGGGGTGATGGAAAGCGGGAGAATGGGGCGGGGTGATGGAAAGCGAGAGAATGGGGCGGGGTGATGGAAAGCGGGAGAATGGGGCGGGGTGATGGAAAGCGGGAGAATGGGGTGGGGTGATGGAAAGCGGAAGAATGGGGCGGGGTGCTGGAAAGCGGGAGAATGGGGCGGGTGCTGGAAAGTGGGAGAATGGGGCGGAGTGATGGGAAGAGGGAGAATGGGGCGGGGGGATGGAAAGCGGGAGAATGGGGCGGGGTGATGGAAAGCGGGAGAATGGGGCGGGGTGATGGAAAGCGGGAGAATGGGGCGGGGTGATGGAAAGCGGGAGAAATGGGGCGGGGTGGTGGAAAGTGGGAGAATGGGGCGGGGTGATGGAAAGAGGGAGAATGGGGCGGGGTGATGGAAAGAGGGAGAATGGGGCGGGGTGATGGAAGGAGGGAGGATGGGGCGGGGTGCTGGAAAGCGGGAGAATGGGGCGGGGTGATGGAAAGCGGGAGAATGGGGCGGGGTGATGGGAAGCGGGAGAATGGGGCGGGGTGATGGGAAGCGGGAGAATGGGGCGGGGTGATCGAAAGCGGGAGAATGGGGCGGGTGATGGAAAGCGGGAGAATGGGGCGGGGTGATGGAAAGCGGGAGAATGGGGCGGGGTGATGGAAGAGGGAGAATGGGGCGGGGTGATGGAAAGCGGGAGAATGGGGCGGGGTGATGGGAAGCGGGAGAATGGGGCGGGGTGATGGAAAGTGGAGAATGGGGCGGGTGATGGGAAAGCGGGAGAATGGGGCGGGGTGATGGAAAGCGGGAGAATGGGGCGGGTGATGGAAAGCGGGAGAATGGGGCGGGGTGATGGAAGGAGGCGAGGATGGGGCGGGGTGATGGAAAGCGGAGAATGGGGCGGGGTGATGGAAAGCGGGAGAATGGGGGGGTGATGGAAAGCGGGAGGATGGGGCGGGGTGATGGAAAGGGAGAATGGGGCGGGGTGATGGGAAGCGGGAGAATGGGGCGGGGTGATGGAACGCGGGAGAATGGGCGGGGTGATGGAAAGCGGGAGAATGGGGCGGGGTGATGAAAGCGGGAGAATGGGGCGGGATGATGGAAAGCGGGAGAATGGGGTGGGGTGATGGAAAGCGGGAGAATGGGGCGGGGTGATGGAAAGCGGGAGAATGGGGCGGGGTGATGGAAAGCGGGAGAATGGGGCGGGGGTGATGAAAGCGGGAGCATGGGGCGGGTGATGAAAGCCGGGGAGGATGGGGGCGAGGTGATGGAAAGCGGGAGAATGGGGCGGGGTGATGGAAAGCGGGAGAATGGGGCGGGGTGATGGAAGGAGGGGAGGATGGGGCGGGGTGATGGAAAGCGGGAGAATGGGCGGGGTGATGGAAAACGGGAGGAATGGGGCGGGGTGATGGAAAGCGGGAGAATGGGGCGGGGTGATGGAAAGCGGGAGCATGGGGCGGGTGATGGAAAGCGGGAGGATGGGGCGGGGGTGATGGAAAAGCGGAGAATGGGGCGGGTGATGGAAAGCGGGAGAATGCGGCGGGGTGCTGGAAAGCGGGAGAATGGGGCGGGGTGATGGAAAAGTGGGAGAATGGGGCCGGGGTGGATGGAAAGCGGGAGAATGCGGCGGGGTGCTGGAAAGCGGGAGAATGGGGCAGGGTGATGGAAGGAGGGAGGATTGGGTGGGGTGATGAAAGAGGGAGATTGGGGCGGGGGTGCTGGAAAGCGGGAGAATCGGGCGGGGTGATGGGAAGCGGGAGAATGAGGCGGGGTGATGGAAAGCGGGAAAATGGGGCGGGGTGATGGAAAGACGGAGAATGGGGCGGAGTGCTGGAAAGCGGGAGAATGGGGCGGGGTGATGGAAGGAGGGAGGATGGGGCAGGGTGATGGAAAGCGGGAGAATGGGCGGGGTAATGGAAAGTGGGAGAATGGGGGCGGGGTGATGGAAAGCGGGAGGATGGGGCGGGGTGCTGGAAAGCGGGAGAATGGGGCGGGGTGATGGAAAGCGGGAGAATGGGGCGAGGTGATGAAAGCCGGAGAATGGGGCAGGGTGATGGAGAGCGGGAGAATGGGGCGGGTGATGGAAAGCGGGAGAATGGGGCGGGGTGATGGAAAGAGGGAGAATGGGGCGGGTGATGGAAAGCGGGAGAATGGGGCGGGGTGATGGAACGCAGGAGAATGGGGCGGGGTGATGGAAAGCGGGAGGAAATGGGGCGGGGTGATAGGAAAGCGGGAGAATGGGGGGCGGTGATGGAAAGCGGGAGATGGGGCGGGGTGAGGAAAGCGGGAATGGGGCGGGGTGATGGAAAGCGGGAGAATGGGGGCGGGGTGATGGAAAGCGGGAGAATGGGGCGGGGTGATGGAAAGCGGGAGAATGGGGGCAGGGTGATGGAAAAGCGGGAGAATGGGGCAGGGTGATGGAAAGAGGGAGAATGGGGCGGGGTGATGGAAAAGCGGGAGAATGGGGCGGGTGATGGAAAAGGAGGAAGGAATGGGGCGGGGTGATGGAAAGGCGGAGGATGGGGCGGGGTGATGGAAAGCGGGAGAATGGGGCGGGGTGATGGAAAAGCGGGAGAATGGGGCGTGGTGATGGAAAGCGGGGAGAATGGGGCGGGGTGATGGAAATCGGGAGAATGGGGCGGGGTGATGGAAAGCGGGAGAATGGGGCGGGGTGATGGAAAGCGGGAGAATGGGGCGGGGTGATGGGAAGAGGGAGAATGGGGCGGGGTGATGGAAAGCGGGAGAATGGGGCGGGGTGATGGAAAGCGGGAGAATGGGGCGGGGTGATGGAAAGCGGGAGAATGGGGCGGGGTGATGGAAAGCGGGAGAATGGGGCGGGGTGATGGAAAACGGGAGAATGGGGCGGGGTGATGAAAGAGGGAGATGGGGCGGGGTGATGGAAAGAGGGAGAATGGGGCGGGGTGCTGGAAAGCGGGAGAATGGGGCGGGTGATGGAAGGGGGGAGAATGGGGCGGGGTGATGGAAAGCGGGAGAATGGGGCGGGGTGATGGAAAGCGGAGAATGGGCGGGGTGATGGAAGGAGGGAGATGGGGCGGGGTGATGGAAAGCGGGAGAATGGGGCGGGGTGATGGAAGGAGGGAGGATGGGGCGGGGTGATGGAAAGCGGGAGAATGGGGCGGGGTGATGGAAAGCGGGAGAATGGGGCGGGGTGATGGAAAGCGGGAGGATGGGGCGGGTGATGGAAAGAGGGAGAATGGGGCGGAGTGATGGGAAGCGGGAGAATGGGGCGGAGTGATGGAACGCGGGAGAATGGGGCGGGGTGATGGAAAGCGGGAGAATGGGGCGGGGTGATGGAAAGCGGGAGAATGGGCCGGGGTGATGGAAAGCGGGAGAATGGGGCGGGGTGATGGAAAGCGGGAGAATGGGGCGGGGTGATGGAAAGCGGGAGAATGGGGCGGGGTGATGGAAAGCGGGAGAATGGGCGGAGTGATGTGGAAGCGGGAGAATGGGGCGGGGTGATGGAAAGCGGGAGAATGGGGCGGGGTGATGGAAAGAGGGAGAATGGGGCGGGGTGCTGGAAAGCGGGGAATGGGGCGGGGTGATGAAAGTGGGAGAATGGGGCGGGGTGATGGGAAGCGGGAGAATGGGGCGGGGTGATGGAAAGCGGGAGAATGGGGCGGGGTGATGGAAAGCGGAGAATGGGGCGGGTGATGGAAGGAGGGAGGATGGGGCGGGGTGATGGAAAGCGGGAGAATGGGGCGGGGTGATGGAAAGCGGGAGAATGGGGCGGGGTGATGGAAAGCGGGAG